AGTTTCATAATATGTAATAGAATTTGGTAAAAGTTTGGAAATTATATCATGATACCTTAGAGTATGGCGTTGAAATCAATTATTCACTTAAATTTACTTTTGCTCTTTTTATTTAATATGAGGTAATAAGAACTACAATTTTGAAAACCGGAATTTCCGGTACACCGTTACCATATGAACGGAAAAAATGCCATATAGTTTAAATTCTGTATAAGTTTGATTTTATTACAAAAAATATGTTTTTTTTTTTTAATTTTTTTTTCACCTGAAAAGTCACCAGTAATTTTACCAGAATTGGTTTTTCCAAGTACAGCATAATAATAATATACAGTTTACAAATATTTATATTAAAATTTGAACTTTATTAAGTTTTTATACCGTTGAAAATTCTGTCACGATAATCTTTTATTAAGAACTGCACTTTTTAAAAATTATATGCAGTTAATCCGAAACTGGAAGTGTATCTCTTGAATATGCGCAATATGTACATTCTTAGTATGCGTCAATATAAAAACAATCGACAGTTTAAAAAAAATATATTTAATAGAATCATTTGGAATTATGCTCCCCTTCCCCCACAAAGTATGAGGAACATATTTGCAATCTTCTAATAAAGATCACGATGGATAAGTCAAGGATCAGAACGTCTTTATGTTATTTATTCCTCATAGTGCTATTAATTCATTCATTAATTTTTTTCATTTATTTATTTCATTTATTTAATTTTTTTCTTTCTTTCGCTTATTCAGTGAGTCAGACAGCCACTCGTGGTTTGTTTATTTATTTATTCATTCATTTATTTTACTAGATTTTAATTTACTCAAAAAATTAATGGAAGAATGTTAATTTGGAAACACTAGTTTTAAAAAATATACTAACAGTAGAAGGTTGTTTATAAATCAAATTTTCCCATTAAAAACAGTTTAATTTAATGAATTGGAGGAAATCATAAAGCTTACATGCAGCAGACCATAACATGTTTTTAAACGAAAAATATTTGCGTTTTTTTCTTTTCAAATTTAAATATTTTTTTAATGAATCAATAAAAATCAAAAACATTTTTAGTATTAAGGTCCAAATTTTTTAAAAACTTTCTTAAGAAAAATGTAATTTCGATTTTAAAAAAATAATATTTAAATGAAATTAGAGGAGAAAAAATCTCGAAAAAGTTATGCATTAGTCATTTATTTAAAATTTTAATTTTCATACTGAAAATGTCAAGAATTATTTTAAGATTTAATTAACTTTTTTAAAGTATATAACTAAATTTTTCGAAAGAAAAATAATCATATCCTTGTTATTTTAAAATTTAAAACAGATTCAAGATAATTCTTATAATTATATTGATATTTTGAATAATGTTTAATTGAATATTTAATAAATATTTTTTTCCTAAGAAAATGTGCATTTCAAACTGTTAAGTCTTTCATTATATTTATTTTTTTTATTAAAATAGAAATAACGTTGCTATTTAATAAAACTATTCTTGCATTTTCGAAAATCTTCATTTTCTTGCATCTCACTAAAGGTCTTCAAAGAAGAAAGTAAGCATGAAATATATTTATTATGAGAAATATTTTTCATTAATTACTTAATCAAAATGGATCATAGCAGTCATTAAAATAAACAGAAAAATTTAACAGGATTAGATTATTATTGAAGTAAGGAAACAGGTATGTAACAGTAAACTTGCATATGATGCTTACATAAGCGTATCAGATCTACGAAATATAGCCTGGGTATTACTGTTTAAGTACATTTGAGCCTAAATATCTTATAAATGAAGAAAATAAAAGTTTATTTTTGAAAATTTGTTAGTTTAGATTCGCATTAAGTTGAGTACGGTCCTCAAAACTTTTTTAATTTGTCGAATAATTAAGAGCATAAGATAAAATTAAATAAAATTGTATTTACTACTGTGCTTAATATTTCCAAATAAATAAATCTAATAACGAAATCAAAAATTTTAAAATTTAAATGATACAGTTAAACTTTATGTAAAGTTTTAACTTTAATATTTTTAAGGACAATATATACCATGTAATTAACCTTGACGCATAGAGGAAATTACTTTGAATTTTTTATTTACTGCATAAAAAACATCTCGCTTTGAAAAAGGCAACTTATATACACGATTTAAAAAAAAATTGATTTTCAAAGCAATTTGAGAGACATCTTTTTGTGATACAATTTTCAACTTACATAGTAGCATGCGTCAAAATTTAACTCTTTTATGAAACTTGTGAAATAAAATAGTTAGCAAATTCACGACTTGTTATAACGAAAAGGACTTTCGATTCTGATTGTCTAAGCTTCAATGCTTATTGAAGCGCAAAGCTCTTAGCACTTGATGTACCAATGTTGAGACTTTCAGAACTATGATTTTATATAAAAAGGTTTGCAAACTATACGAACATCAAATCACTTCTACATTTTCTGATATTATACGGAAAACAAAACCTTAAAACTTCAAATATGGTAAGCAATTTTAAAATATTAATATTACTAAAAGTAATTTCTCTCAAGCTCACTAAAACTCTTAGTTTTATCAATTTCGTTTTTCAAAATATATTTGCTTTTTGTATCGTATACAAATTTGTATTGAATTGATTTGTACAAAAATTTGAGTACAATAAAGAATTAAAATGCCTTTAATATATTTGCCCAATTCTTAATCAAGAACATATATCGATTTATTTTTAAATGAAGTTGATATCATTAAATAGAAGGAAACAATATTGATAATTTTCTCAAATTTCAAAATTCAAAAGAATTAAGGCATCTTTAAAATTATGGTTAATTCAGACAACTCATTTCTACGGAAATTAAATTTTAAAGTGAATTCCATTAATTTTCAAAGGAAAAACGATTTTCAATTATTTCTTCCAGATACACTTTTTATAACGCTTTAATACGCTACATAATTGAAACAGAACTTAACTTGTACTTTTAAAGACAATCCTATTTAAATTTAATGTTTTTGATACTTTTCTGTAAGAAATGAAACACGTATAGTACATTATTTTTTAAATTTTGATGCAAGCGGGCACAAAATAATAAGGAAAAGAGTGTGATAGACTTAAGCAGTGAGTTGAAAAAGTTCGGATACCGACAAACATCTCGATTAATATATGTCAGATCTAAAAAAGGGTATTAATGCATTCAATATTTTCAAAACTACCTAATAATACATAACTCGATTTCTCTCCTGCGAACCCTGAGAAAAAATGAGGTAAGCTTTGAAATCATAAATATGAACCCTCATATTTTATTGAAGATTCGGATTCTCCAGATAAATGTGACCCGCTTCGACCTATTGGCTTATGCATTTTTTTAATTCAAGAGGCAACAACGAACAAAATTTAAAATTATGCACTGGCTATTTAAAAGGGCGATATCTCGAGACCTTTCAGATTGAAAGAATAAATTTGCGTCGGATTTTTTTGATTTCAAAAACAAAAATTTAAATAAAAATCAATAAAATATTGAAACTTGTCCTTTCCATGCTTTTAATTTGACTATTCCAATTTTTTTATAATTATAACTCAAATTAGCTGGAAACAAAACTAACTTCATGTGACACACAAAGAAGCTGGGCTTGCTGATGACGTTAGAATTCACTTCCCGTATAAATGGAAAGAGCCAAACCAATTGCAAATTTTATTTTGCAATTAGCTGGTTAAGTGACAATGAATAAATTATTTAATATTTTGAAGCTACATTTTTTCTTGCCGTAATATAACATCACTCCACATTTTCTATACAATATTTTATTTTATTTTATAACCGTCGTTAAACAGCAGAACCAATTTTGAGTTTACGACTACAAATATTCAACTTCGCAGCCTTGTAGTTTTGAACATAATCCTGAAGACAAGGGAACTCCACAATCAAGTATTTTGAGTAATTTTGCTTTCGTGGAGGATTTTTTGATGGATCTAACCCGTATTTTCGTTACATGGGGAAGAAAACCGCGAAAACCTACCACGGCTATCCTGATGGAGCGGTGATTCTAACCCCTGATCATTTTCCCACTGATGATATTTTACGGCAGCACTGGCCGGGTGTGGAATTCCTTTCGACCAGCCATCTCTGGGATTCGAACCGGGTTTACCTCATTGGAAGGCGAACGCGCTATAATCTGAGTCACCACGATTCTCACGTACAACAATTTTAATATTTAGATGCATCCTAGACATTAAATTGCATTCTTTATAAGCCTATACGATTCAATATCGGATTAGATCCTTACTATCAGCCAATGGATGAACATATTTTGCTGTACTTTATGTTTATTTAGCCTTTACATAGCATTATGTATCATCTTCGTTACATTAATTTAAAAAAATTTAAGGAATAATTTAGGATTCAAACAATTTTTTAAAAATCTGTCAAGGTTAACAGAATTATTAGGATTTTAAAAAAAATCAATCATTTTGTTAGAAACCCGTAATAAAGCAATCTATGAAACATAAAGTATTATTTCTATAGTTTTATTTTCTTCCACTAAAATCAATTTTATAAAAGAGTATAAACTTACCATACAAGTTTTAAAGGATAAAAAATCTATTTATATCTTTTGAAATTTTCAAAATCAATTTTCTTTTTTTTAAATTATTTTTAAAAAAATAATTTTAAGAAAATTTTTTAATGATATTATCATCAATATTAGAAAGAATATTCAAAGATGATAACAGTGTGTATAAGATGGCGTTTCTAAATATGTGCAACTTCGAACATAATTATATATGTTTAATTATTGAAATTCGGAATTGGAAAAAAATAGAATTTTTATTGTTTTAAATCATCGCAATGATTTTTTCAATAGTTTTATACACATGAATTGTTTCTACTAAATAAAATCTATTCATAGACGGATCTTTTAATTTTTAAGGAAAAAGTATCTATAAGAACTTAATAAGGGAACCAATTATATTTAAAAACCCTTTTCTTACAGAAAACAGCGTTGTTCTTGATTTCCACTATTTGCATTTTCTTACTCATATCTGATGCAATGTGCAATCCAGAACCGAAACCTCACCATCATCATGAGGACCACCATGGGCATCATCATCATCATGGACACCATCATCACCATGGACATCATCATGATCATCACCATGATCACCATCACGGGCATCATCACCACCATGGTCATCACCATCATGAGGGCCATCATCATCATCACGGACACCATCATTAAAATTGAGCTGGATTTATCTATAATGACCTCTAAACAAAATTTAAGTTTACTACTGTTAAAAAACTTTGCAAGTTTTCTAAACTGTAATGTAAGTTTTAACGAAATAAATGTGCAGTATGAAATGCTTTGTTTTTTAAATTAAAATAACAAATCTCAGCATATAAGATTATAATTTTAACAAAAAATAAATAGGAACTTACACAACTAACGATAAAAAATATTAAGATCAGCTTTGCTTGTGTATAAAATTATTCTTTGTTTAATGAACCAAATTCATGTAAGTTTGAGTAATAGTATAACTGAAAACATGAATTATCAACACGTGGAAGAAAAGTCATAGTGAGGCACGATGGAGCCTTAACATTGCAGCATATACGGACTTATAAAAAAAAAGTTTTAAAAATGCGAAACAATTACAACGCCACCTCTAGAAACTTTGACAAAATCCATAAAACTGTTCAACTCAAATATTATTGAATTTTGGATATTCGCATTTACAATCAATTGACCCTAACTATTTTCAATTTAAACGACAAGTTTAATTTACACAATTTGGCTGACAAATCGACACATCACTGTAAGCAAAGACTTTCTAATCTGAACAAAATAAATTCAAAATATTGCTCAAGATTATTCCAGATTCAAAATATTGTTCAAGATTGATAATCACGTAGCGCATCTAATTCTGTAACTATATTCAATAAGCTATCCTAATATAAATGATTTGGTCGGAAGAGATCCGATTTGAAAACCTGTTTAATTAACTTATTAATGGTTATGATTAATGATTAATGATTATTTTTAATGATTTAATGATTTTTTTAATTAAAATTTTCAAGTAATCCATTTTATTAGACATTTATGAAAATATGTGCTGCTTCAAAAATATCACATTCAATCAAAAATATTTTTGTTTTGAATTTTAATATGTTTTAGTATTTTGGAGAAGTTGGAAATGATACGAATATTTCCTTTACTTTCGAAAATTCATTTCTATAAAAGCAAGTATCCCCAATCTTAGCCTTCGGAGTGGTTTTTATTCAGGACACAGCTCAAACTGCGCGTTTAAGAAAATGGACACGACCCAAAAGGAATCAGAAAAATGAATGATCAGAAAAATAGACACAGTCCGAAAAAAATAGACCCCGCCATTTATGAAAATTAACATAGCATTTAACATAGTTTCGTTTTTGGCTGTAATGGCTGCTTAAGAAAATAGACCCCGCCGTTTATGAAAAATAACATTGCATTTATCATTGTTAACATAGTCTCGTTTTTCTAACTTTTCTTAAAATTTTTCGCGTTTTAGAGAATAATCTAATGAAACTGCTAACATATATGGCTATTTGCCTATATCGCGTAGCGAATTTTTTTTAAAAATTAGTATTTTTTCCAAAATAACCAATATTAATCTATTATATTTTTTAAAAAATCTCATTTAGTCCGAAGCATAAATAGCATCAATAAATGGACACTTAGCAAATTCTTATTATATTTTTCAAAACGGGAAAATTTTAAGAACAGAGTTAATTCTTTTCTGAGTTTTCTTTAATGACTGAAAATTTTAAGACCTAAGTTATTTATTAGTACTAGGTATCATTTAAATTCATTGAAAGGATAATACTCTTTTTTCTCTCGTAGATACTAATTTATTACCCTTTAAACTAATATTATAATTCATACAATGCTTTAAATTTACTCCTTTTAATATTTGATACCTTTGCAAAATATCTAAGTTAGAAAGAAAGAATGAGAATTTTCTATTCCCAGAAGACTTAGCAAATTCACTCAAAAAGATTGTTATTCATTAAAAATCGAATAACAAAAAAAAGATCAAAATATTTTCAAAATAGGTTTTAGAAATGAGATGGAACATTGTTAAAGAAAAAAGTTGTTTCAATTGCTATTTGATTTGTATTTGTAAGGGAAAAAAATAACAAGAACACAAGAATATACAGAGAAGGTGCAAAGATTAAAAATTCATATTGACTCTTTAAAAAAATGACAAACATGTACCAGAGTAATAAACATGTTACATTTTGTGTTCCTTTTCATACTGAGTTTTCTTTAATGGCTGGATTTTCTTTCATGACAGAAAAATTCTGCCAAAATTATTTGTTAACAATTTTTTCTTTGTTGTTGAATGGAATGAAAGCTGCAGTTATTTACATTCATATCTCCTANGTTACATTTTGTGTTCCTTTTCATACTGAGTTTTCTTTAATGGCTGGATTTTCTTTCATGACAGAAAAATTCTGCCAAAATTATTTGTTAACAATTTTTTATTTGTTGTTGAATGGAATGAAAGCTGTAGTTATTTACATTCATATGTCCTACACTGAGTAAAAAATATGTTCTAACCTACCAGAAATACGGCAAAATTTACCTTGTTTCTGCCTCTATGAGAACACCAAAAATCTTGGAAATTATATCACGATACCTGAGAGCATGGCAATGAAACCAATTATTCGCTTGAATTTACTTTTGTTCATTTCATTTAATATGAGGTAAAAAGAGCTGTAATTTTGAAAAATAGAATTTCCGGTACGCCGTTACCATATGAACGGAAAAAATACCAAATAGTTTAAATACAGTTTATTTTTGATATTATTAAAAAAAATATGTCTGTTTGTCTTTTTTACTTTTTATTTAATTTTTTTCACCTGAAATGTCACTATCCTAGAGTACAGTAATTTTACCAGAATTGTCTTTTCCACGTACAACACATTAAAGATATACCATTTACAAATATTATAATAAAATCAGAAATTTATTAAGTTTTTATGCCATAGAAAAATCTGTCAGAAAATCTATGATTAAAAACTGCTTTTTTAAAAAATTATACGCAGTTGATCTGAAACTATAAGTGTATCGCTTGAATGTGCGCTGATATATACATTATTTGTATATATGAATGAAAAAACTATCGAGAATTTAAAAAAAAAAACTATTTAATAGAACTATTTGGAATTATGTCTCCCGCTCCTCACAAAGCATGTGGAAAATATTTGCAATCTTCTAATAAAGATTACAATAGATAAATCAAGGATCAGGACGTCCTTATGTTATGTATTTCTCTTATTCATTAATTCGTTTAATTCATTATTAATTATTATTCTATTATTCTATTAATTCATTCGTTTATTTTTTTTCTTTTATTTATTCCATTTATAACTTTTTGTTCTTTTCACTTATTCAGTCAGTCAGACAGCCACTCAATTATTTATTTATTTACTTATTCATTAATTTTGCTAGATTTTAACTTGTTCAAAATGTTAATGGAAGAATGTAAATTTAGAAACACAAGTTTTAAAAAATATACTAGCAGTAGAAGGTTATTTATGAATCACATTTTAACATGAGAAACTGCTTCATTTAATGAGTTGACCTATATCATAAAGCAAACATGCAGCTGATCATTACATGTTTTTAAACCAAAACTTTTTGCAATAATATTGCAAAAATATAAAAAAATATATAAATCAAAACTTTTCATGAAAAAGAGTTTAATTTTATGAGTTCGCCGAAATCATAAAGCATACATGCAGCTGACTAGAACATGTTTTTAAACCAAAAATATTTGCAATTTTTTCAAATTTAAATATTTCTTTAGTTAATCAATGATAATCAAAAAAATTTCGAGTTTTGAGGTGTAACACTTTTAACAATTTTTCTTTTAAAACCACGTAATTTTGATTCTAAAAAAATAATATTTAAATGATATGGAGGAGAAAAATCTCGAAAGTGTTTTGCATTAGACATTTATTTAAAATTTTAAATTTTCGTATTAAAAAAGGCAAAATTTGTTTTAAGATTTAACTCAGTTTTTAAACCATATAATTAAATTTTTCAGAAGAAAAATAATCTATGTCTTTGTTACTTACAAATTTAAAACAGACTCAATATTTTTTTATTATTATATTAATATTTTAAATAATGCTTAATTTAAAATTTTTACCTATTTTTTCTAAAGAAAATATGTATTCTAATCTGTTAAGTCTTTCATTATATTGATTTTTTTTAAATTAAAATAGAAATAACGTTGCTATTAAATAAAAATATTTTTGAATTTCTGAATTTTTTAAATTACTTACTAAAAATCTTCAAAGAAGAAAGTAAACATGAAATATATTCATTATAACAAATCTTTTTATTAATTACTCGATCAAATGCAACTTATTTAAACTTTTAAAAAAATATTGATTATCAAAGCAATTTGAGAGACATCTTTATGTGATACATTTGTAACTTACATAGTAACGAGTGTCAGACATTAACTCTATTCTAAAACTTGTGAAATAAAATAGTAAGCAAATTAAAGATTTGTTATAAAAAAAGGACCTTCGATTCTGATTGTCTAAGCTTCATTGCTTATTGAAGCGCAAACCTCTTAGCACTTGATGTACCAATGTTGAGACTTTCTGAACTTTGATTCCATATAAAATGGTTTGCAAACTGTGAGAACATCATATCACATCTACATTTTCTGATATTATACGGAAAACAAAACCTTCAAACTTCAAACATGGTAAGCAATTTTAAAATACTAATATTATTAAAAGTAATATCTATGAAGCTCGCTAAAACTCAAAGTTTTGTTAATTTCGTTTTTCAAAATATATTTGAACTTTGTATTGTATATAAATTTGTATTGAAATGATTGTACAAATATTTGAGTACAATAAATGCTTAATTAAAATACCTTTAATATCTTTTCCTAATTCTTAATCAAGTTCATGCATCGATTTATATTTTAAAGGAAGTTGATAGCATTAAATAGAGCGACACAATATTGATAATTTTCTCAAACTTAAAAATTCAAAACAATTAATACATCATTTAGATGACGGTTGATTCAGATAACTCATTCCTACTGTAATTAAATTTTAAAGTGAATTCAATTAATTTTTAAAAGAAAATAGTTAACAAGTTTTTCCATTATATCTTCTAGATACACTTATTATAACGCTTTATTACGCTACATAAATAAAAGAGAACTTATCTTGTACTTTTAAAGACAATCTTATTTAAATTCAACGTTTTTAATAGTTTTCCGTAAGAAATGAAACACGTATAGTTTAAACTCAATTTTTTTTATAGTTATGAAATAAAATTTAGATAATAATATTTTTAATTTATATAATATATTATGAAATAATATTTTATAGTATGAAATAAAACACGTATAGTACATTATTTTTTAAACTTTGATGAAAGCAGTCACAAAATAATAAAGAAAAGAGTGTGACATAAACAGTGAGTAGAAAGAGTTCGGATAGGGTAAAACATCTCGATAAATATAAAGCAGATCGAAAAAAGGGTATAAATGCATTCAATATTGTAAAGCTATCTAATGATACAAAACTCGATTTCTCACTTGCCTGCGAAAAAAATGAGGTAAGCTTTGAAATCCTAAATATGCACCCTCATATTTCATTGCAGATTCGGATTCGCCAGATAAATGTAACCCGATTCAACAATTGGTTTATGCATTTTTCTTATTCAAGAGGCTACAGCAAACAAAATTTAAATTTAAGCACACGTTAATTAAGATGGCGATATCTCGAGGCCTTTCAGATTGAAGAAAAATTAATAAATTTTTTTTGGGTTTTTTATTTTTCAAAAACAAAATTTAAAAAAAAAAATATATTAAAACGCGTCTATTCCTTGTTCTTATAATCTGATGGTTTCAATTTTTTTTAGAATTATAATTTCAAATTAGCTTAAAACAAAACTAACTTCAAATGACGCAAAAAGAGGCGGAGCATGCTGATGACGTCAGAATTCATTTCCTGTAAAAATGAAAAGAACCAAACCAAAGCTTGGGATGCTATTTTATTTATTTGTTTGTTATATCATATTATATCGATTAGGTCTTTGCGTCTGCGTTTAGTAACATGTGTGCTCCTTAGAAACAATTGGTTTTTGGCTTGAAAAAATGTGAGGTATGTCACAAGGCTTTGAATTTTTAAACTTCACATTGTTCGTAATCTTTAATTTAATGTAATTTTTCATATCTTCTTCCTACCAAAAAAAATTCTCTTAAACGAAATTCTATTAAAAAAAATTAAAAACTTTAAAATTTTTTTTACTAATGAAATTACATATTTTATTAACGATAGAGATAGACCTGCTTAATACTCCCTTCCACCGATTTATTTTATATAAATTTTTGTATCGAAAATACTGAGTCCGTTCTTTTAAAATGTTGAAAATCTTAGCTTATATAGTAGAAATACAGCACAATATATTTATAGAATAGAAAGTGTTTGTTATTTATATATATATATGTTTAAATACA